ATGTGAACATATGTATAATTAATTTTTAATAATTTGAATAACGTCAGAATAAAGTACTAATGTTCCTAATGTAGTTATTAACAATGCAGTTGTGGGCGACTGCATGGTGTCCAAGCTAGGTTGAAAACTATATTTATTACATGTGAAACCACCCAAACACGAAAATGATCAATGAGAAAACCCTGAGTGTAGCATACAAAGATATTATACCCTTACGTCATTTAGCTATTACATTAATTTAATAGATATCGTCGTGCCGTAGTTAAAGTGTAGAGCTATTTTTGACATACCGTGCGGCACGCTACTGGGTTTTCAAGTATTTTCATTCCTGCGCAGTTTTAATCAGGTTTTTTAAAATGCCTGTTACTTGCAAGAAAATTTATTGTGAGCGGTTAGTAATTTTGGTTTTAAATAGTCCATTATTGCAGAGGCCGGGAAGTAAGGGATTGCCGGACGAGTACGACGGTCAAGCAATCCCCGTTCCCGCCGAGGTTTATATACTAATTTTCACAAACAATTTAAAGATAATCTCAGTACACAGTACTAAAAAAACCGACCTCAAAAGTAAGTGGAATTACGTCTATTTGCTAAGTTTTATTGAAATATCCCCTAGTCGCCACTATACAGGACTTGACACTGGAGGTAATAAAAATCGGTTCTCACTACTCAAAGTATATTGAGAGAAAAACGCCTTGAATTGGAGAAATAAAAAATCAGCAAAATGAAAAAAAAAAGCAAAATAAACCATTAAAGTAATTGCTCCTAAATTAAAGTTACGCGCTATTTATAAAAATGAATCTTCATGCGTGGACAGCGACCCTTCAAGGTGGATGATTTTCTTCAAAATGAAATGGGACCACTATGGAAGTACCCCTTTTCCAACAAAAAAAGAATCATGAAAATCGGTTCACAAATACCGGAGTTATCGCGTAACATACATACAAAATAAAGAACATAAGAAAAAGAAAGAAGACTAATAGAAGAAACAAAGAGAAGAAGATATATGATAGAAATAGTTAAAAAAAATGTTAATTAAAATAAAAAATAACATTTGCAGTATTTGCAGGCATTTTTGTTATCGCTTTTCACACTTGAACTTTTTTGCCGCGACGTACATAGAAAAAAGACCAAAAAGAAACAAACGAATACCCAAGCACTTTAGTCGTCGAGTTTGTGTACTCGATGACTTTAGTTCAATTTACCGCCTTTTTAAAAAAAAAATACGATTAAATTACGACGCAATTACGAACACTTGGCAGTTGGCTGTAAGAGTTTTCCTTTTGCCTGTTTACATAGTTCATCAACATAGTAGGTAGATTTAAAAATTTAGAGAAGTGGACAGTAATGGTTTTTTGTACATCATTTGCAGGTCTTGACCGGGAAGAAGTCACACGGTTCATAAATGACAAACTTTCCGTGTTCGTTTTTGAAAATAATGCAAACATTTCCGAGCATGTTTGAGAAATGTATATTCAAAAGAGCTACTCCTAGAGATTCTCGCTCATTCTTCTCAAGGGACTCTGCCGTATGAGTGAGCAGCAGAGTTTAATTAATATGACGATTTTAAGTGTAATTTGCTTACCTATGAAAATTAAGATGATTTGAATTAGAATTTGGTGATCTAGCTCTACAAAATACATTTTTGTAATTTTTTTATTTAACTATGTTATTGCAGAGGATAACATAAAAACACATTTAGTAACAAGGAAAGAAGAAAATACAAACAAAAGGTACTGCTTATTACTACAAGAAATTTCTTCCTGGAGACCTATATACGTGCACAATAAAACAAAAATTATGTAATAGAAACAATATCAAAAACATTAAATTATTACATTTTCTTTTTCTTTTTTTATACTTATATAAATACATATTTCGTACTATAAATCCTATAAAATATTTGGAACAGTCGATAAATAGGGCTCAAATCGTTGTCTAGAACAAACTATACGATCGACTCCGATAATTATAATCAATTGATGGATGAAGTGAACATTTATTAATTAACCGTGTTAGAAGTTATTGTAATTAAGTTAGTTATCCAGGGAATCAGTTCAGACTTTGCATTCGAGTGAAACTATGATTAAATTGCTGTTTGATCTATTGTTATGTTCTTGGCAGTGGATAGAAACGTAAATACGAGTAAATTGTTGGTGTACGTAGCGGGAATTTGCAATTATAATTTACGTGTGTCGTTCGGAATGCGATGGACGTGCGTACATATCCTTCTATGGCTCAGTGTATATAAAAAGGAAAATATCGCATTCAAAAGAGCTAAATATTCTTAAATAACCATAGGGTATCTAAAGTACTAAATGCTATGATGGCCGTTTTGACGTTTGTCCGCTCATCAAGTTTCGTATTAATTCATAACTACTAATTGTCGTTAAGAGGGAGCAGAGGAATAAATCATAATCTTCGATTTGATTTTAGTGGGGTATATATACTTTAAAGTTAAAAATAAAATATTGTATGAGTAACTACACGATATATTCAAGAATAGACATTAATCAGAAACATAAAACAATAAAGTTTCCTCGATAGATAAAAATCACGAAATGACCTCTAATATTCACACTTTTTCGATTTATCCTCGAAATGCTACAGGTTCTTAGGACAAAAATTAGATAATTATTTATAACTATGCATGATCGAGAACTGTCACTACGGATTTTTTTAATCCCTTTAGTTTTAGAGTTATTCCGCTAAAACGAATTTGGTTCTTTTAATGCGCAAAATTCAACATCTCCTGTCGCATGTCACGCGAACTTCAGGCATATATTTGTTTCACATATTTGGGCGGAGCCAACGTCAAATCTTTTTTGGCATGAGAGCTCTTAATAGTGACGTGCAATTAGTGGATGTATAATTTTACGACACAACTCGGCATTTGTTTTCCAAAATTCGAAATTTAAATGTAATACGATCGTCACTTATAGGATCGCTGTCCAGTACAACTTCAACCTCCGGCAAACGCGCGTCGAAGCTTAATGCAAAACAATGCAGTTTCGAATAGACGGTCATATTAAGTAAACAGTTTTATTTTCGTTTTATTAAAACTTTTTAATCAGCTACCCCTTGCAATACTAGTTACAAATCTAAAGATTTAAAGATGCGACTCGAATTGATTATATTTTTTTTCGATAATGAAATGAGATTTGACCTCACTATTGTAATCTCTGAAAACGGCCATAATGGCGTGCTGGTACTGTAGAAAAGTTTTTCATAAAAAACTGAGAGTATATTTGCTTAGATATGAGTCATGTAATTGTATTTAGTACATTTATGTTACGTTCTGTGTCAGACAACCACACCAATTGACTGGTGTCAAACATGTGAATCCCCGGTACCGTGAGTACCAGAGCAACAGAATTCACTCGAGGATACTTTCCAAAACATCCAGACCTGAACCAACTAGAAAACTTCATTTCCCAAATTGGTCCTACCGGGAATCGAACCTGGGACTTCCGCATCTAGCGGCCACAATATTAACCGCTAGGCTACTGAGGGCGTAGCGATTTTTCCATTATAGTTTCTTGAGGTCTAAAGGAGTCATCAGACTTATCAACGCGGATTCGTCGTTAACGCGGCCGTTCGCGTTAGTTTTTAAACCAGGATCAGGGGGTCCACTTCCGTTTTCCGTTCAATATTACTTATTTTACAGTAATTGTTTCGGACGGATGTCGGACGGAGGGCGAGAGTAGACCACCAGTCATCGTCAGTATGCGTTCGGACGCGATCGGACCTGTGGCGAGTCGCGTTCGTACGGACTGATGCGAAACGAATTTAATTTGGTCGAGCATTACTTATTTGACAGTAATTGTTTCGGACGGATGTCGGACAGAGAATGAGAGTAGACCCCTGTATATCAAAGAAGGTTCTCAAAGTTCTTTCAAAGTGGTGGTGGACCATCATGGTGGACTAACCTTCTCTTTAGAGGAGACCTGTCCCAGCAATGGGACGTTTATAAGATTCCTGATGACAAACGGGAGGGGAAAGGTCGTGGCTGTATTTATTTCTCTAACCGGTACGGTAAAAGACATTTATTTAATATAATTTCGTTACACCGCTATACGGCGCTCGTGGATACAAAGGACAGATAGGGGTTTGTGTAAGTACGGTCTACGTCAAAAGTAGTTGAATAAGAAGTAACTTTTAAAAGTATAATGTTTGTCTTACACGGAGTCATCGTTTTCACAAAGTGCGCTTATAACGTGCCTCATTTATTCGTAAATGGTGTACATAATTGGGATGCAAAATAAAGTGTCTTCGTAAAAAAATCTACCATCGTACGAATTAAGATTAAGGAACACAAAGGAAATACAAAGGCTGTGGCAAAACATTTTTTTAAATGTCTATTAGTTATAATAAATGAATATTCTTTGCTACACATATCTGCAATGCTCAACAACACTATAAGGCCCTTTTACATTAGGTCGACAGATCTCCTTCACTTGCTCTTCGAAGGCGGTAATTTACGAAATGAATACACTGAGTCGTTTGACGATCGTAGTTCGCTGCCGAAGTCCACCGAGTCGACTAGGTGTAAACTGCCGGTCGATCAAACAAGTTTCAACTTGTCGACGGCCGCGTTCCACACCGAATCGCGTACGGTTCGTGGAATACCTACCTACCTGTCAATTTGTTGAACGTTTCGAACGATTTGTTGAAAAAACGAAAACGAAAAACGCCAATAGTGTATTATTGAATGGGTGATTATGTAATATTTATCCAAGTACATACGTACTTGGGTAAAAATTAATTTCTTGTAAATGGGGTGCAAGCAAAGAATATCCAGTAATGATCTTCATGTGTGTATTGTCAACTCATAACTCGAGTGTGTATTGTGTGGTACAATCCATGGGTACTATGTGTTACGGTATACGATTTAAAAAAAAAACATTTTATTACCCGACCGTATTTATAAGCTAACCTTAAACACAATATGTCGTGTTATTACTGTGTGCCTTTGTAACTGACAGGGTTATTTCTTGTTTCAGTAAAAAAGGCGCGCTATGTTGGTATACAAGGTGAGTTTTATTAACGGTTGACGTGTTGTGAATAATTATTTTGTATTACGCTTTTGTTTGTGGTATATTTTTGTACTTATAATACGATTATAATGACTTCACTTATAACCTTGTGAATGTAAAATGTGTTTAATTTCGTATCGAATTAATAAGTTATTTTGTATTTACTTGTTCATTGTAGTTCTATTTTCGTATTATGTTTCGTATGGATTTGCATTTATTTTTATTGGTAATAATTACTCACTGAACTATTTATGAATAATTTTCACCCCATATTTCTACTTTTTTATAGTACGCACAGTTACCTGCATGGATATGTATACACCTAGCATAATTACAATTAAATAATCTTCGTAAAAGTTTGTTAAATCGTTATAATATTTTGAGTAGTATGCACTGCTTTGTCTAGAATATATATACATATTTAACGCCTTTCTCCTTTGGTACAGACAATGGTCTTCCACTTGTTACAATCCTGACACACATCTCTCGAATCATCAACATGTATCAATGCTTTTCATACGTGTTCGTTGGTCAAGGGTGGTCTTGATCTGACCTTTCTTTAGGACGTTTCAACATGGTCATGATAATATCGAGAGAGAACTACTACTACTACATTATAATGAAAGTATATCAAATTTAGCGTTATATATTTTTTGTATCTGACCAAAACATCGACTTTACCTCATTCCTATGACATGTGTCACAGGGATCATCCAGTTTGAGTTTAGTACAGGTGCTTTTTAGGTGTAAAGCGATTTTCATTATTTCTCGGACTCGTATCGGATATCCGAAGTCGGTCCGAGGTTTCTAGATTTGTATATTCTTGTATTTGTAACGAATACGGATCGGACGCACTACACAAACGCGCTTACACATTGAAAATGTAACTATTTTTCAGATCAAAATCAACGTGTACGCGATTTAGATTCAAAAATAGTTTCAATTCCAATTGGTCATGGTAAGTTCGCTTTGGTATTTTGTATATTGTATTTGTATATTGTATATGCATATTTGTATATTTTGTTATGTAAACGACTCATTTCGAAAAGGCCGAGGAACAGTTATGTACAAAATATTTTAATTTTTCTACGTAAATATGTTTTACTATAGGTGACTTTAACTTACCCTAGGTTTACAGTGTTCTCGCTCAAGGCCGGTTTACATAACTAATAAGCGTTAAAAATAAATATATTGCTTAGTGAGTTTGAAACGTTTTACAAGCTTGTCTAGAAATTGTTGATAGATACATAGATAGAGAAAACGTTTATTCAACACAAATGCAACTTAAAATCAAATAAAACAAAACTATAACAAGGTACTAATCTATAACTCACTATATCGACCTCCGCGGTCGAGTTGCTTTTACACCGGTTTTCATGGTGTCACCATGTCTGAAGTTCCGGGTTTTATTCGCGGCCGGGACAATGTACAAAAGTTTTTTTTAAATAATCATTTTCAAGTTTTTATTGAATTACACGATGTTTTACTACCATGACATTCAATTATTTTTAGTATAATTGCTCCACTAGTTTGTTATAATTATTAATCACAAAGATCTAACACGTAGAAAAAATTAACCGATTCGGCTGGATCCGAACCGACCCACGTCTTCTAGCAAACTGTGCCAGAGATGAAAAAAGTAAGAGGAAACAGATTTATAGGGCAAGTTGGTTAGGTCCGACCAATGCGAACTCACTACGACCAAATTGAGGACATCCTAAAGTAAGAAAGCATTGATATATGTGTTGATAAGGAGAAAGAATGTGTCAGAAACATAGCAACTGGAAGGCTGTGATTTCAGTTATACTCAATTTCAGTTGAGTAAAACTGGCTCGAAACATGTTGAGTAAAAATTCGACTTAAATGTGTGAGTTATCCGTTAGATTAGGTAATGTAGATATTCGAACATCTTTCCCCTTCGGCTCTTCATTATTTTTAATAAGCTTTTCCTATTTAACACCTACTCACTAGTATTTCTTTCTATCTAAGTAACTGAATGTCATTTGTAGGTCATAATAATAGTAAAATTTGCTGCAACCATAGCTTTCCCGCATTCAAAAGGTCTATTATTGAATATGAAGTGAATTTTTGACTAGTTTTGGATATTTTTTTTAGTCTTTTACAAGATCACACCATTTAAATGCCGTGTAGTAGTAATTTTCAATAGACTTCAAAAAGGAAGAGGTTTTCAATTCGTCTGTATTTTTTTACATATATGTTAGGCTAATACTCGGATATAAATCTCGGTAATAGCTCGACTAAAATTTGTAGAAAATATTCCACCCCTAAGGGGGGCAAATTAGTGTATAAATCCAGTTTATTAAATTTCATCAAATTTTCCGAAAAGCAATTTAATAAATTTGGCATATAGACGTAATTTCAATAAAATTGAAGCACAGCGAAAATGGATAAGCAATCGTTTTAATCGGTTTTTTTTTATAAAAAGTTGTAACTATGTGGAGGAGGCTTTCAATTTTTTTTTGTTACGCGATTACTCACGGCATTTATGAATTTTCGATAATTCTTTTTTATTGGAAATAAGGTACCGCAGTATTGGTTCCGTTTAAATTTGAAGAAAATGTTCCACATCTAACTGCGGCAAACTAGGGCTGAATGAATCCGGTTTCGCGCATTTTTCGGTATCCGATTTCAATAAAACTTGGCAAATACACGTAATTCCACGAATTTTTGAGGTCGGTTTATTGTACAAAAAAAAATACAATTATTCACTGTTTAAAAATAATATAAATTAATGTGTTCTCTGTAATGTATGCCATACAATTAAATTAATAAAATACAAGAATGTTATAGTGCCGATTTAATTGTACTTACTGGTTATTATTTCACGCGTGTGAATGAGCCGTCGCGGTAGTGCTGGATACATAACGCAATCCCAATCGGCTTGCAAACGAAACTTATTCTTCTACTTGCAATGTTGCACGCAGCAAATTTTAATGCTTTAAAAGTCTATACAACCTCAGATGGCTTAGGTTGATTTCGCATAATTCAAAGTGTTGAATCAATCACTTTGAAAAAAATATATATAAAATTGAGGATATACTCCGATTACTTATACGGTGTGAGAACATGATCATGATAGAAAAAAACACAGACTTACCTCGAAATTTTGCAAGAAAACCGTTGTATTCAATAGGTACTTTACATATACCAATATTTTTTTTAATATCAGCTGAACTAAATAGGACACGTATACTGTACAATACACATTTTTTAAATGGCTTTAAGTTCGTTCGTAAAAAAATAAATTCTGAAGTAAAGCCAGTGTCCCTGTCACTCGACCGAAGCAAAATGGACCGTATTAGTACGAGAAAAGTTTTAAGGCTTACCTTTTTCACATCACGACATTTCTGTGATAGCTACACATTAATTAGCAGTTACATTAATTTTATAATACACTATCCGGGACGCCCAAATAAACCAATTTGGAATGTTCATTTCCCAAATTGATTCTACCGTGAATTGAACTTGCTCATCCAGAGCCTACTTTGCAAACAGATAGGCCACCGAGGTCGTTTAATATGGCATGAATATTCGTAGTATACATATAGAATAAACAAACACATATATGTTATAACTGCCTTTGTGACCGAACGGTTAACATGGACTGCCACACAGACGTATCAGGTTCGATTCCCTGGGCGGGACAAATGTTTGTATGGCCTACATTTATTTCTCTTGTGAGTTTGGTTGTAATTTGTGATTATCTATGTGTGTGGCCATGGCACCCGTGACACAGGGTTTCCCTAGTGCGGGGCTATTTTGAGTATTATCTCCTCCCAGCGTCGCATACCTCATTACTGAGGTTCGTGATTCCCCCACGGAAACAAACTCCACTTGACGATGCTGTGTCATCTGTGGCGGTCTTGGGCTTAGTGGAGCACATTATGGAGACCCATGCCGAGAGCCGTACAATCTTGGTAGGACCATCTTGTGGGACAGCGACTCCTCAGACGTTTGCCGTCGATCCTTCCAGTGACCATTAGTTGTTCGAGGCTGAGCCCTTCTTTCCTGGTAGTGTGACCCAAGAAATCAAGTATCCTACGTAGACATAAGGTGGGCAGTCTGGTCTGGACGTTAAGCTCTCGCAGAATTGAGTCGTTGGTGCGAAAAGCTGTGCATTAAAATGTATATTATAGGGGTATATAAATACCCACTGCAACTTGATGCCGAGTCTTGATCTTGAAGACTGCCAAAGAGATACTTACGGAACATGCGCTTGGAAAAATGTCTCCTTGCGGAATTTTACTGGTACAAAGTTTATTACGAAAGTAAACATTAGGGACAACAAACAAGGCTCAAAAGTATTTTTCGGCCTGTAGCTATAAAATGCTGCTAATAAACTAGCAAACTTCAAGGGCTATCTTTTTATTTTCTCTTAGTTATTCTATTGGCAGAATATATTTTTTTTGGCTCAGACAATCACACCAATTACCGGTTACAAATACCAGGAATTCCCTGTGATTATTAACAGAGTATAATTAACAGAGTTCACTCTGAGGCACTACTCGGAACACTCAAAGCAGAAACGATTTAGATAAGTTAATTTCCCAAATTGGTCCTATTGGGAATCGAACCTGAGATCTCTTCATCCAGCACCTAGAATGCAAATCGCTAGGCCACCGAGTTAGGTCGTCAAATACGGTTGCCTCAAAAACGGTTTGTTAAATGTATCTTTTGGATAAAACCATTTAAGCTAAGTCTAATCTAAATCATTATCTATATATAAGGACGGTAGAAAATCCTAAATAATGTACCTTAAGTTTGAAAATTAAGCAGACCCAATTCAATTTATTGATACAAAATAAGTGCTTAAAAATTGTTTATTATATCCCGTCAAAAAATAATGTAAAATTACGCCATAAAAAAATAATTAAACTCCCGTTAATGAAAGGTTATGTGCCAAATACGTCTCGTAATTTTCATTTATTACATTTCTTAGCCTAACTGTAAAATGGTGCTCATAGACATTAAACCTTCAGGAGTTTACACCTTTACCTTAGCTGTTATCTGCTTACTCTTTTTTTTAGTTACACTTCGTAGTTAATTTATATATACAAAACCGTAGTTTTATAAATTTATAACTTCATTAAAAAACCGATCTCAAAAATTAGTGGAATTATATTTATTTGCTAAGTTTTATTGAAACCGGTTAACAGAAAGTGGATGAAATATAATAAACCGGATTCACCCCTAAATTGCCATCCTTAGAGGTGGAATATTTTTTTTCAAATTTTCACCCTTTCCACCAAAAAAGAATCATCGAATCTGTTCACAAAATTGAATGTCTTTTTTTTCAAAATTGATTGAATTGAAGTCTCGTTACATAAAAAAAACTGATGTGGTACTTGGTGTAACGGGCTGGTGTCCGCAACTCGACGTCAAGGCGCCTATTTTGCGTGTTGCTAATATATATACATATATACTCCTCTTTTTTTTAGGGCGGTTAAAAATAGAGTTGCGTCTTAACATATTTTTTAATCTCCACAGCAACACAGTACAACACATACGTGACACTTAAGCTGCAGAATGTCAAGTCGACAACGGTGACAGTTAAGGGTCCGACTCCTTCCTGGGAGCAAGACTTCCTTTTGTAAGTACTTTTTATATTGATTTTTTTAAATTCACGGCCTTCTGTTCACATCTCAAAAATAGCATTTAATAAGGAAAATGGTTTAAAAAAATTTTGGCACATCTGGCGCCCAAAGCCGGCGAATCGTATACCGGCCTAATGTTTTTAATTTATGGGAAGCTCGCTTATTCACACAGACCACATAAATATTGTTCACAATAAAAGTTAACACGTTAATACAGCTGTGATACATTTTGATATGCTTTATAGATATTAATACTTTCGTGGTTTTACACTAAATGATTATCACTAATTATAGGTTTCTTAACTGGTATGAGCTTTTTTATTTTCCCGATATTTCGGAACTGTTACACACTCTATGGTTACTCGATTCCTCGCTGACAGCACGCTTACTGCACCAACAGCTGGCACTTTTGATGTATTCGTGTTGCAGTAGACGTGCAGTTGTGTATAGCCGAAGTGCTTTGTGCGAATTCAGTAAAGAAATCAGAATGGAATAAACATTAAATAATTAGCTTTAATAATTTTAAATTTTTATTGAATTGATATTCAGTTATTTTTTTTGTGAAATTACTCCAGTACTTTGTTATGTTACTTTTAATAATTTCAAACTTAATTTGAAGGCATGTAGACGTTTCAAATGAAAATAACCCTATATGTTGTACGTACACTTCAAAGAACGTTGCCCACCAGGCATTAAAAAAAATATCACTATATAAAAAGAGTTGTCTGTAATTGGTGAAATTACAAGCATATGGGACTTGTCAATTTATGTCTCAGGGTGACGTGGGCAGTGCCACTCAGATCTTTGTGATTTAAAACTCTGAGTTGTACTACAACTGTTATAAACAGGCGTGCCATTTACCATCAGTCGCACGACTCGTTCGTCTCTTCACTTGACGTCATAAAAAAATAAAAACAAGACTTAAAAGTATGATTATGAATACAAAGAACTAACACACAGATAAAATTTTGTCGACCCAGCGGCACCTGAACGGCACCACGTACGTGCTGCACCGTAGCATTGCTCTTCCCAATTGAGCTACGGGTCCAGTTACCGAGCCGACGAAATTCTCATATGTGTTTTTGTTATACATATTTGCACTGGCTTTTCGGCATTCATCGCCGCTCGTGACATCTAGTGAGAGGTTTTGAATAACCTTCTCACCCCAGCCCTAATAAAACAAAACTAGTATAATCATAAGCATAACAAAACTAGAGAAGTTATTTCACAAAAAATCTCAGTAAATAGACTTACAAATAATCAATAGTCAATTATCAACGAAAATGGTCGCAGCTTTTATGGAAGAGATATAAGAGGGTCTAGTCACTAGACAAATTGATTCACTTGACTATTTTAAGGCTTTCGGTACCCGAGAAAAGAGCATAGTGACGTAGTTACTATTGAATTTAATATAAATTTTTAAAGTTTTAATACAGCATATTGATTGAAATTTGTAATCTTTCAACATTACAAATTTCATATAAATACAATTACATTTTATACTACTCTTCGAAAACTGAGCATCAGTTTACAAAATAATGTAGAAATCATTATACGATAGTGAATCATATAAGTACACAGTTTTGTACATGTAGAAAATCAAACATAATTAAATTAAACTAATAAATAATTGAATTGAACAACCAATGTCAAGTGTATACAGAAAATGTCAATATGGATTCTTAATAACTAATAAATGTATATTAATACAATACAATACAATACAAAAATTCTTTATTGTACACTAAAAAAGGAAACAAATACAATACAATTAAATTAAAAATTAAGTTAAATATAATAAGACGATGAATGTCAAATTCATTAATAAATAAATAATTTAATTATTTATTAAATATTTTGAATGTACTCTGTTACTGAGTAAAGGGACTTTTCCAATAAAAGGTTCTTCAGTCTGTATCTGAACATTGCCTGACAACATTCGTTTTTTAGTTCGGCAGGTAGTAATAGGTCGGTCCTACAACTCGCGTTTTTTTCGTGAAGTGCAGTGCGACGCGGTACTGATCGGAGTTCTCCCGCACGACCGACGGAGGCACCCACCCATCACCCCCACTCGCCCAAACTGTGTTAAGTGTTTCCGCGTGAACATAATGACCTCAAAAACATATTGCGAGTAGTGGGTCATTATTCGGTATACACCAAACAGTGCCTTGCAGGATTGCCTCTGGGTTATGCCAACCATAGTTCGTAATGCTCGCTTTTGTATACGCATTACCTCGCACTGCCTCTGTGGCCGAACGGTTACCATGCCGGACTGCCATGCAGAGGTCCCAGGTTCGATTCCCGGGCCGGGAGAAATATTTGTATGACCTATATAGAAATATTTGTTTCTCTCGTGAGTTTGGGTGTAATTTGTGGTTGTCTATATGTGTGTCCATGACACTCGCGACACAGGGTTTCCCTAGTGCGGGGCTATGTTGAGTGTGTGTGTTATTATTATTATTGTATTACCCTGTCAGCATCTGTCGAATTGCCCCACAGAATAACACCATAAGTCATAGTTGAGTGGAAGTGTGCAAAGTACACCTGCCTCAACGTATTACGAGACACCAACGGTTTTAGTTTACGCAGAGCAAATACCGCACCACTCAGCTTATCAAATAGCAAGTCTACGTGCTGTTTCCAATTCGAGGTAGGATCCAAAGTAAAACCCAAGAATTTGCATTTGTCACTCAATAGAATAGGACACTGGATACTCACACTCGGAACGCGCCTACCAGAGAAGAGCATAACATTTGATTTATTTACGTTGAGAATTAAACCATTTGCTGAAAACCATCTTTCTAGTTGTTCTCATACTGTAGTGATTCTTTGATTGAGTTGCTCTTATGTGCGCGCACTGACCACTACTGTTGTGTCATCAGCATGCAGAATTACTTGACCTTCCGATACGGCAGATGGTAGATCTTTATAAAGGGCATAAAAAGGGCATTCCCTAGCGCAGATCCTTGTGGAATTCCGACCGTCACGCTACCAAACTCCGACCACAGTCTTTTTCCACCCGACATTACTTCAACCGTTTGTGTTCGGTTTTCTAAAAACGATCGCAGTAGGTCACTACCACATCCTCGCAGACCGTAGCACATTAGCTTTTTTATTAGTAGGTCATGACTTATGACGTCAAAAGCTTTGGAGTCGCAGACTATGCCAGCTATATTACATTTGTTATCGATGCCTGTGGTGATGCAGTCAATTGTTTTATATGCTGCTCTTGTAGTGGACATGTGTTGTCGGTATATAATTCGATCGAAAATTCGATTCAATAATTTTGGAGATGTTAGGTACTATCGATATTGGCCTATAGTTGTTTTGTCACCCTTACTTTTATATATTGGGCACACTCTTGTATACTTAAGCACGTCGGGGTAGACAGATTGGTAAACATCTCATTGATTAGAGTTACCAATATCTCCGATAGTATTGGCCAAATAGACGAGTGACAGCTGGTAAGTCAACGTCGGGCACATCAGCACCCCGTACGCGGTCACTCAAGTATTGAATCGAACGCCGCTCATCCACCCCAATATTAAATTTGAACGCGACACTTAAAAAATACGGGTTTAGTTGGTCAGGTATGTCTCTTTCTTCTACGTTATTTGCGCCACAGATCTTAAGAGTTATATCTTTCCTGTCCTGTTTTGACGAGATTTCTTCGTTTATTATTTTCCAAATTTCTTTGGATTCCCACTATCTCTCAGCATTTTTTCTGTATAGTCCTGTCTGGCTTCGAACACTTTACGTTTAATCAAGTCGGAATAGTACTGAATGCAATTAGAGATACCATTACCATTCGGGGTATTGTTTTCCGAAATGGGATAGGTCATTGAAGTTTTGCATGTACTTATTAATTTCATTAGTCATCAATGGATCATTGGATTTATTGTGTAATCGAAGTTGTTTAATAGGGAAATAAATGTCAATAAAATATGTCAATATTTGCAGTAGTTTATTAAATTTAATATTAATGCCCAAGTTATTATTTATAAAATTTTAATTATACTTTTGAATGTCACAATAAAATAAATACATTGATTCATCATTAATGATTCTACGCTCAACAAAGGAGTTCTGCTTTTCGCGATGCGAATATAAAACCGTTTCATGAAAATATGATCTAAAAATCAGAAGTAAGTTTTGTATCACCGGGTTGGGGATTGAAACTCCTTTGGGAAAGTGTCAAACGAAGCATTTATTCCCAGTGGTACGCTTCGGATTTTTTTCTCTGTACAAGTCGACATAAACAATATTATAGAGCAAATTACAATTGTCTTGGCATATGTTTCCTATTGCACAAGATGATAAGTTGTTTCTATGGATATGAGTTTTGATCTTTGTGAATTGCTCCTGTGAATTTATTGGTCATATCTAGAATAGGTACCAATCACTGTTTTTGTACCTTTATAAATGCCTACGACTAAGTGCGCAGTCACACGAGCTGCGTCGCAATTGCAAAAAAGCAGTTTGTAAGCAGTTACGATGCTTCTCGATCGCAGATCGCTCGTTGCAGTTAGTGTGCAGTCGTAGTAACTGGTGCAGTCCCAGTCATAACCGTGTTTTAGCTTTATAAAGCCTCTTAGATATTCAACCGTATCTTCAATGTTCTGTGTATATATATATATACATAAATGGCATTAATATTTACATATAATTTCGGGCATATGGCCTCATGGGCGTAATCTGGAAGTCCAATTTTCATACACTCTTTGCAGTAAATCGAATGTAGGCTTCGAAGTGCTCTATTGTTTTTGGTTTATCAGCGTAGACATGCAACTTTACATATCCCCAAAGAACATAATCTGATTGCGTGATATCACACGAACGAGGAGGCCAGTTTACAGGTTTATATCGTGAAATTAATCACTTGTCAAACGTTAATTTCAACATGTTTGCAACATTAAGCCTTTCATTTGAGGCACGAAACAGTTGTAATCATGTCTCTGTACCATTCACCGTTAACTGTAACGTTTTGAACATCATC